TTAATTCAACTAAACACCTCCCTCTGGCCCGCCATAACACTGCAGAAAGGTTTCTAACACAATGAAAGTGTTTTTTACTATTCTGGAATGTTATCACAGTGACATTCAGTTAATCTGTTGTAGCCATAATTGGCAAGAAAACAGAAGAAATACAGTATTATATAATTTATATACAGTAATCATTCAACTTGTGGTAACTCTTCATCTAACATAACATATACTAGCCCCTTCTGGGCAGCACCATAAATAAACAAGTAGAAATATGATATGGTAATATTTCTATTAAAAACGTGAATCAGTGTTATGAATTAATTTCATATATCAAGTACTTCATTTGCTGGATTGGCCACAAACATGCCAATTTGCTTATTTAATCCACAAACAGTTAATCAAATGAATTTCAATTTATTTATTTCCAAAAATTTACTCCACAGTGATATATATTGACATTTTTTTGCTATTTAGAGGGTGAGAGATGTGTGAAGTCTATATCTATGCAATTTATTGTGTGAATATATTGTCTGTCTATGTGCTTGCCTGTATAATAACTGCCTTGGTAAGGAATACAATAAATTAAACCATTTTATTTTGTTACTTTCTTTAATAACCACACTGATGATTATTTTCTTGCATACTCATAAGCCAAAAAGCAATCTCCCCTACAGTTGAACAGAGCTGTCTGTGTCAGTCTTTATTGACTGTGGACGGAGTGGTGTTTCGCTGTGCTGAAGGCTGGTAGCCAGTGGCCTGTGAGCCAGAGCAGTGAAGCAGGGAGTCAGAACATGAACAAAGGCTGCCGAGGTATTGATGTAGCCCAACCTCCGGGGGCCTGGGGCCAGGGGCCGGACAGGCTGATCTCCAAAGACAGATAAGGGGCTAACAATCTGATAGATGTGGAGAGCAGGCTGCATGGTGAACAGATGATAGCTGTCTTGCCTGTGCTGCCCACTCTATTCACCTTTATCTCTTTGAGATGTAATTTTTAAAGATTCATATATTAGTCCTTTATTTTTCATCTCTCTGCTTTAACCTGCCATGGCTGGATGCCAGGCATTTCACTTGCTAGGTTCACTCTAGGCTGCTCCACCAGTCTCTCTTCTCACTTTCCTCTTCTTGCTTTCCTCTTTTGAGTAGTACTCTGGTAGATAGGCGCTGGCATACTAACAGACTGGGATAGCTTAGTCATTATATATCATTTAAGGTGTATCTGACTGACAGTTTCTTCATTCAGTCAGCACCACACTTACCCCATCCTTTCTCTGCCTCTCTTTGATTACTGACCCAGTCATGGCGCCATGGTTTCTCTTTACCAAACGCCTGATGCTCCAAAGCCTTCACTCTGTTCACTCTCTCGGAGCAATTAGATCTATTGACGAGGCAATGTGGCTGGCCTGTCATGGGCTTCAAATCCCAAGAGAGCGGCCGAGTCAGCCAGTCTCCACAATTAGCACATTATATGACAGGTAGGGAGGGGAGGGCTGCAGCCAAAAAGCATAGCCACTGTTGCTGCATTCACTGCAAAGCTCAAAGGAGCCAGCCAGAAATACAGGTGGTAAATTATTCACCGGTTTGTTTGCTTGAGATCAACTTTGTGGCCAGGGGGGTGTCAGAAAACATACTGCGGACAGCTAGATAAATATCACACTAAATAAAAACAGAAGAAATCTAAGGACAGTGTGAGAACCTCACGTTAATCAAAGTATAGACACTGTTATGATAGGGATTAGAGAAATTCTGTTATGACCCAGGTCCGATAGCCCTTGACTGAGAAAAAAGGGCCCATTCACAAACTAGCCTAATAAACAAATGGGTAGTATTGGAAACACAGACAGGAATCCTGTGATTCCATCCCGGCTACAGATCAAGGATTCCCCAAGCACTAAAAACATGGAGAGTGCCTTTATTGAACCAGATTACACTACAGCATCTCCTCTGTTTGTGAGTATACTGTGTAATGTGTGTCTCCATCTTCTTTATCTTTCCATGGCAATTCTGTCGGTTGCCATCATGTGCAGGGCTGAGTGCTGCCAGTAGCTGCTACAGATGGACAGGTGGAGATAGTGACCATGAAGTGGCGCCACCGCTGCCTTTTATCATCCCATCCTGGAGGCTCCGGTCTGGCTTGAACCAGCCTTTCCTCTGCCTTTCCTATTCCTTTCCCTGCATACTGCATTTTTAATTAGCCTAGGTCATACAATATAGAGCCAAGAGACCAGAGACCATGGCCTGTCAGTCAAGTGCTGCCACCTCTTTGCCTTGCACCACCTTTCTAGAGACATCTTCTGTTTGTTAGCTAATTAGATGAAAAGTGTATTTAAAGAGACTTTTCCACTCATTCTTTGACTATTTTGTTGTATCTGTTTCTTCTCTAATAGTAAAACTTGGTTTTTTGCTACTTGTTCTGCCTTGTGATTGGCTGTATCAACAATGAAAATTAGAATTAAATTAAAATTTTGTTCTGAAAATAAGAAGCGTGTCTTTTTAGTTTTCTCTCCAGTGGCCTGATCCTTAACCTCAGCAAGGGTTAGCTGGATAAGTGACATATGGCTGTACTGTAATTCATTCTAAGGTCAAATTGAGTCTTTCGCCTGGCTCATTTCTCCACTCTGCTGCCAAGCCCTGGAGGAAACAGCAAAGAAGAAGGCTGGCAAGGGGATGCATGCTGAGAAACAGGATGCTGAGAGTCTGTGCTTGGGTACAAAGCACAGAAATGGAAGGTGGCACTCCAAGAGTAAATCGGTCAGTGGTTGGGGTGGTGTATAAGACGCTAGGCCCAGAGGGAAAAGGCTGAACAATTGTTTATAGTATCTTGACCTCACATCAATTCACACTTGGATGAATTGAGAGATGCAGCAGAGTTATTTGGCTATTGTTCATTAGATGTAAATGTTAATGCTATGAATCTCTCTCATTATTTAGCCAGTTCCACTGCCCAGGCTGGCAGAGAGAATGGTGGAAAAGGCTAATGCCTATGCCTGTCACTCCTACGTATCCTCATCAATCTGACACTGGGAGAGACCATTAGCACTAATTTGACAAATAACCCACCAGTTAGACCTGGAGCACTGCAGAAGTCAACAGAGATGAGTAGAGAGTTAAAGGGAAACGCAGCTACCACTTGCCCCGGAGAACCCACAAGAGCTAATTACAGATTTTGTGTATCTATAATTATGCAGTGGGCTCAAAACGCCAGCCTGTTCCAGGGGGTGGACTGATTCTGTGTGTGGCCATCCGTGTGCACTCTGCACTTTGGCCTTTCAGATGGCAACATAACGTGCTCACTACTCTGTACTTGTTACTGAATTAGAGGAAGTTTAGGGTGTCAGCTAACTGGTAGGTAGGTAGGTAGGTAGGTACTTTATTGATCCCTCAATGGGGAAATTTCAGTGTTTCAGCAGCAATAGAGAACAAACAACATAACACCATGAGAAACAAGCACTGCACACATCCTGATAAATAAATTCCAAGTACTCAAAAATAGACAGAATCAAGTATTTAAATAATCAAGAACAGAATTTACATATGTGCATATTAACCATGCATTTTACCCCAGGATTTGAGTATTGCACCTCAGTTGACTATTACATAGTCCCTCATACTTTCACCTAGCTTATCCCTGCAGTGATGTACAGTCTGATAGCTGTGGGAAGGAATGACCTACGGTAACGCTCCTTCTTACACTGGGGATGTAACAGTCTTGCGCTAAAGGAACTGTTCAGAGCCTCCACTGTGTGCTGCAGGGGATGGGAGGGGTCCTGCATGATGGATGTTAGTTTTACCAGCATCCTTCTGTCTGCCACCTTCTCGATGTAATCCAGGGGGCAGCCCAGGACAGAACCAGCTCTCTTGACCAGCTTGTTTAGTCTCTTTTTGTCCCTGTCCATGCTACCTCCCGCCTGGCCCACAACAGTGTAAAAAACAGCAGATGCCACTATAGTATCATAAAAAGTCCGAAGGAGTGCCTCCCTCACACCAAAGGACCTCAGTCTCCTCAACAAGTGGAGGCGGCTCTGGCCCTTCTTGTACAGGGCATCAGTATTTTCAGTCCAATCCATTTTGTTGGTTGTGTTGGTCTGAGTGTGGCATCACATAGTGCTAGCATATCTTGAAGCAAATATGTGGCAAAGAGTGGGTTTAAGGTGCACCACCAAACTGAAAAACTAAGATTATTTCTGACAGGGCTTAGAGGATATGAAATGGTAGAAATATCTTCCTTTTACATCTTTGAGAAAGGAAAGTTATGGCTGAAAAATGGAAAGGTCTCTTCTAAGCATGTGGCACCAATAAGAGGCTGAGAACTGGCTTTCAACACAGTCAGCATGGAAATCAGTGGGGAATACGGGTCACTCCTTTGACTAATGATGTGTACAGTACTTAGAGAAAACACACTGTCATGTGAGTCTGTGCAACCATACATACAGAAACCTATATTTTATGATGCATATAGTATGTAATAGACACATAGAGTACATGCAGTCCAGGCAAATACATCAATACTAATAATAGTTTTTCTTTTTTCCTCTAATTTACATTTTTCCATTGACTTAATATAAATTTATGCTTTCCCAAAATGTTGATTTGCATTCTATGTAATCACAACTTGATGTTGTAACACACTTGTTTGTGCAAATCTGTAAACACAAAGAAAGATCTGCTTAGTGCTTACCAGCCAGAAGGTATTGATAATGCTGTACCAGGTCTGCAGCCAATACCAGGGGGTGGTTGGAGTTGAAGGGTGGTTGTAGCTCATTCCACTGTGGAGTCCTGCTCAAAAAGACATCAACTATGAGACTACCAGTCTTAGAGACACTTTTTGTAGGATACAGTGGTCAGCACAGTGTTACCTCGCTAGAGTCCAGCAGGCCCTTGGACAGGTGCTGAGCTCCAAAGGTGTATCATCACTAATCTTTTGAGCAGTGCTAATTGGCCGAGGCTCCAGGACATGTTCCATCAAGTTACCATAGCAACTGATGATGTACAGAGAATCAACAACAGACTGCCTGGACTGATCTGTGAGAAGAATGAGGAAGAAGGCAATGATAAAAATTCTACTTCAGCTTCTACTAAAAATCATGATACAACTGCACATTCATAGAAAAGGGGAGAAAACTGCATTTAATATTGAACTGCAGTACATTTGTCAGGACTTTGTACCAATTAGACACTTTTGGAACACATGGTTGACAGGAAGAGCCAGGATACTGGCTCCAGAGAAATGTGAAAAGCACCTGTGCATGATCTAACCTTTCTCTCTTTTCATGCTGGGGTTGGTGATGAACCAGGAGCGAGATGAGCCAAAAACGGCAGCCACACAGAACTCTCCTCCACTGGACTTACTCGGGGAGATCTGAGGAGGTGGCTTGGCTTTGCTTCAGTAGGAAAAAAGCATCCAACGTTAAGACACAATAAAAACTGTACTGAAGTGTCTGGAATATCAAAGGTGTTCCCTGCTATTTTTGTACATTTTAACATGTCAAACTCAAATTATTTGTGATTGACTGGTTTAAGTACAATAGCCCAATGAGACAATGGAGAGGAAAAAAACTGAACTCCAGGCTTATGTTCAAATGATTGGTTTGTCTAAATTTATATCACATTTTCAGAAACTTTGTTGCCTCCAGTCCAGTTGCCCCACCTTGGTTACTTAGACTATAGTGAGTAAGATACAGTCTTATGCAAAAGTTTAGGCACCCCTTGATAAATAACAGATTTTGGTGATATTTTATTTGAACAGATGTTAACACAGTTTCTCTTGGAAATGGAAAAAATGCACAATATTTTCTGCAAACAGTGATGCATAGTTACTTTTTATGCCATAAATTGAACAAAAATAAAAAATAAAAACATTATTATGGCATGGTGCAAAAGTTTGGGCACCCTACACAATCAGTACTTAGTAACACCTCCTCTGGCAGATATCACAGCTTGCAAACGCTTTTCATAGCCAGCTAAAAGTCTTTCAATTCTTGTACTTGGGATCTTCTCCCATTCTTCCTTGCAAAAGGCTTCTAGTTCTGTAATATTCTTTGGTCGTCTTGCATGCACAGCTCTTTTAAGATCTACCCACAAATTTCCAATGATGTTTAAATCAGGGGACTGTGATGGCCATTCCAAAACCTTCAGCCTGCGTCTCTTGAGGTATTCCATAGTGGATTTCGAGGTATGTTTAGGATCATTGTCCTGTTGTAGAAGCCATCCTCTTTTCAGCTTCAGCTTTTTTACAGATGGTGTGATGTTTGCTTCCAGAATGTGCTGGTATTATTTTCCCACCAAAACTGACTCAGTGACACAACATCTGAATTTCCCATTAAAAGCTGTCAATATATTCAACAGTGATCTCAAATGCATAGTTACAACTATGTTTCTAAATGTGGATGATTCTTCATAAAAGTTCAAATGAAATCTTAAGTAGCTTTAAGGCCCAGAAAAGGAACACCTTGGACCTAAGTATATAAAACTATATGGTAATATCTGTGAGAATAAACACCAAATTTATTAAAGTGCTTTGTATGCACAGAACTAAGCAGGGGGGAAATAAAATGTCTGCAAAAATCATATCCACCTTAACAGAAAATGAGAAAATGAACTTTGCAATGACACAGATGTGGATGTAAGATACATTGAGAGAATAGTCAAAATCAGTACAAAACCAAAAACCTATGCCTTATAAAATGTCTACCTTAATACACAATTTATCCACAATTCTAGATCCTCTCCCCTCTGAAAAGGTTGTTTTAATTGTGTTAAGTGTTTCTCTTTTAGTTTACAGCACAAAGCAACAATTGCACTGTTGCAAGCTTCCTCATTAATTTCAATAAAACCACAGTTGCCACCACCAGGGCAAAAAGTTAGCCCTGGCGTAACTTTTGGCGCAGTTTGTTAGCACATTATTCAGAGCTCACAGCATTCATAAGATAAATAAAATATGTAACAGAACACTATCTGAGTGGAATGAAGCATGTATGCTGTTACCTTATGCTAAATTACTGTTTAAACCATTTGCACTGAGATGGAAGAGACGCTCTAATGTTGATACTCAAACAATGCACTGTCTGAGATTTAAAATTTATACATCACAGTGGTTTATGGCTTGTATTTTATCTTGTACCTGTTATGGTGTAGTAACATGCCTACACTAAAGCAGCACCTACTGTATACTCTACGCAACAACATCACTCTTCTCATTAGGTGAGTTTCAGGTGACACAATGTCATGTTACCTAACGTGATTCATATCCAGTGCAGTGAGAGAAGTTGTTTGCAAATTGTTTCACTAAGTCTGAAGTAACTTTTGTGTTAATGTCAATTTACAGACTTGCAAAAGTGAGCGCTTTGTTTTGTGCTTGTTAAGCACCTCAAATATTACTGTACATGACAACAAGCCATGCTGTAAAAGGTTGTAATAACTGTATCAGAATGCATGTGTTCAAAGATATGCAAGTATTGGCCTGATTCAGCATCAAAATGATGTTTGTCTGTTCTTTCTTCTTATTGATATTGGGTTAGATATTGTGAAATTTTATTATCCACTGTCAAACAGGCTTTACAATCCAACATTTGCACTTAATTTCCTGCATTTGTTGCACTACAAATTGTTAAGTGTAGCCAATGTGAATACGTTTTATAATCTTGCAGTGCATTGCCATATAGGTACCTGTTCCCATGGAATTGTTCCATTATGAAGTGCAAAATATATAGAGAAATACTTAATCTTAGTTTTGTGGGCTGACCGAAGTTTAAAGGTTTGGGTGGGCTGCACTAAATTTTCAGATTTCAGATTGGGCCCTGGTATTCTTAAGTTTGGGAATGACTGCTCTACAAGTCTAATTCAGTGAGTTTACGCAAACATAACAGTAACTTTACAACCAGAAACAAGCATGACTTTTGGTTTCTATTGTAAATGTGTGTACAATTTGGACAGCCAAACTACTCACAATGTTCCCACAGCTGTATTTACTGATCCTCAGTTCATCATCACTGGCGATTAGTGAACAATGTCATGTGATCAGTTATAGGTTGTATATTTTCTGTGTAGTGCTTTCAGGGAGTTCCTACTTGTATAGCGCTTTTCTATGCATTGCAGGCCACTCAAAGGGCTTTCACACTATTTGGCCATTCACCCATTCGCACTCCCAACTGGCAACTGGGGGTTCAGTGTCTTGCTCAAGTACACTTTGACATGTGGACTAGAATCAAACTGCTAATCTTACAGTTAGGAGATGACCCGCTCTACCTACTGAGCCATAGCCGATAGAGTCCCCGGTATTCCAAGGAGATTCCCTTCTAAGTACTTATCAGGCCCATCCCTTCTTAGCTGCCGAGGTCATACCACACCCACAAATCGCGCACATGTTGGGCGCCAGTTGCTAGGTGACCAAAAAGCTTTCCCCAAGTTAGTTAGCAGATATTAACAATTTTTTCAAGCAATGGACCTGGATACATTAAGTATCTATCTACATGTCAGCGAAAAGCTCCGGCTGTAGTTGTATTGATGAGGAGGAGACGAGATGCAGCAAAGAAGCAGGTGCGGATTTGTCAAAATCAGCTTCACCTCCATTTTCTTTGTGGTTTATCAGGTTTTCTGCAATTGGATGTGTTGAGATGTCGTCACAGAGTGCTGTGCCCAAATGAAACTTTTTTTAACTTCAGCTCAGCATGCAGGGATGGCATGTGCAACCTTGCAGCTCAGCGCAATGCAAATACATTCTTGTGCTGCACAGCGCATAGAAATGAATGGGTTTGATAGTGGATCGCAGCGCCCACCACATCCTCTCTGAAAACAACTTAGATAATGTGATGTGGCATATAGAGCCACAAAGTGCTTGTCAGGCAGAGACTGGGTTGAATGGCTAGGTACAAAAACACAGGCCTTTCTCTCAGGTGACTGGTGTTTAATTCCAGCATATGGCTTGTGTTTTTCAAGAGGTTTTGCTCCTAAATGTAACAATGTTGTTTTAATTTCAAATGTAACCAATTTGTTTTTTTCTCTACACCTAACCCAGCAGTTTTGTGCCTAAACCTACCCAAGTAGTTTGTGTGGCAAAACACAATAAAACGTTTGACAGTATCCAAGACAACAGAGTTCCACTAGCTTGCTGCTGTGTAGCTAGCTGTTGTGTCCATGATGACAAAAGTTTGTAAAGCAACAGACAGTGCAAGACGGGATGTACAGAATGCTCTGACAATGACCAAAGAAATCTCCATTATGTAAATTATGCAGTCTGCTGAAGTTGGCTGCCATTTATCAAAAAATCCAGTCCTCATTGATAAGTCTGCCTCACATGAAGCTAAGTATGACACAAAAAACAGAATAACTTACAACTGATAAACTGTAATGCTGTAGTAAAGACTGTAAAGTAAGTAAAGTTCATCAGGAATGCTTGTAGTGACTGGTGATGTGTCCAGTAGTTCCACTAACTTTCACAGTACTAGGTGCTGAAAGGCCTGTTGCTGGCTAATCTCTTTTTCTGTTGCCTCCCTTCAGACTGTCAGCACCTCATAAATTACTCCCCGAATGCAAGATGCTGATGTCTTTGTTTGGCCAATACCGTGTGAAAGAGGGATCAGGAAAAAGGAGGTGATGAAGGTAGTTATAAGAAAGGCTCCTATACAAGTTTCATAGCTTGTTTTTTTAATGCTAGGTCATAGGGAGAAGGCTGAATAACCAAATACCCACAGTAAGCCTTGTCTATGAAAGGAAGATGGAGGGAGAGCTAAACTCACACTCAGGATATTGCCTTGGTTAACTCCAGGGTGCCCTTGTCTTCTCCTCCAAGCTCTTCCTTCGGCCTATTTGTCTGTCAGTGCATCCAGAAGATAAAGCACTTAACAAACAGGTCCAAGTTACCAATCCACCAAGAGGGTGTGTTTCCACTGCTTAAGCATGTTCCCTTTCCTTTTACTGTCTCTCAGCAATCTTGGACCAGAGAAAGGCAAATTAAAAAGAAATAAAAATAGATATAAAAATATGTAAGATATACCTAATCTTTAAAGTTTCAAACACCTGAGTTGGATTCATTAAAATCAAAATTGCATGTTAAACGGTATGGGGACAGAGGAAACATGGGATCTCTCTTGGATATATGACACCATATTCAGTTCACTTGAGTTCATAGATCAAGTGAAGAAACAATATTTCTGACTGACTGCATGGGACGTCTGTTAAGTCAAAGATCTACTTTGGGGATGTGTTTAATTGCTGAAAACCCTGGTGTTTCATCTCTCCCATTGCTGGAAAATATGTTAAATCCTCAAACTCCCTGTGATTCACTGGTTTCAACAATACAGGACACAAATCCTATACCAGAGCAATCTGATGTTGGTCTTCAAAGGGCTCAGCACAGCGCAGAGTAAATAAAGTACATGGTGAC